AGGAAGAGGAGCTCAGCGGAGCTCAGCGGAGCTCAGCTGAGTGAGTGGAGGTTCATAGTGCCGAATGGGAATTGAAGGACGGTATATGAGACACTCTGGCCATTGAGAGCTGGAAAATCTACCAAGGTTGCCTTCAATACCTTGAAGGTTGTCATGCCAGTGAATGTGAAGAAGTATGCATCTACCTTGTGGTTGGAGCCACTATGAAGTCGCTTACAATGTTGGGGTCTCCGGCCATTGCCTTTTCAAAAAGTGAAATCTGGAGAAGTAAGGTCTTTCTTGATGATCACCAAGATAATCTTACTCTTGATGATTTATCCTTCTGGAAAATAAAGCACAATAACTTTCTTTTGTTTATATGAAAACTTTGGAAAACTTTAGTAGTCGAAAGTTGTGTTAAATAATGAAACGAAGCCTTGCTTTTATAATGGTTTTCAAATCTGGAAACAAGATCAATTAGCTCCTAATCAAATAGATTAATTTCCAAAATCAGACTAATTGATTTCCAATCAAAGAAGACTTTTAATATTCAAAACTGGAAAGCATATTATAAATTAAATCAATCTTTCTTTAAATAAAAATTCTTCTTAACCATAATGTTACTCAGATTGTGAGTTTGAAATAATTCTTGAAATAGCACAATCAAGATGCATGATTGAATGAAGAATTTACCTCAGAGATCGTTAGTTGACATGTGCCTTCAAATCATATCTTGGAATTTTGACAACCACTATTACTCTTCTATCACAACTAATTTTCCATCTATACTTAGTCTATTTGGTATCTAAGAAATGCCAATCACAAAATCAATACTAACAGTTATCTCTATTTTAATTCTTAAGAAACTCTGAGGTTTTCTTGTTCTAAGGCTATTGTTTGATTGTCTTCAATTGTTACGCTGCATCATTTAGTGATGTTGGAACCTAGTGGTGGTTTAGAGGTGTGGTGATACTCATTTTGGTGACCGGAGGTTGTTGAGTGCCAGTGTCGTTCCCCTTGGCGTTTCCATCCCCTTGTACGTCTCAAATGCGAGTTTGCATTTGCATCGAATCTTGCAAGGTAGGCCCTTCGTTGGTGCTCGAGTGAAATTTGATGCTTTTATTGAAAAAAGAAATGAAATAGCCTTGATCCGAATTGGTTGAATTGAATTCATGGAACCCAAATCCTACACGCTTTATCCCTTGCAACCCAAAACTAGGCCAGGCATGAGTTGGATTCGATACATATGGCTGCCTATAGATAAGTTCTATTGCTGGCTACAGCAAATGGGTGCGTGTTTTCTTTTGTTTCTTTCCATGCTGGAAACTTTATGCTTCTGGACTTCTTCATATTTTTCAGTACTAATGTGGATAAGAATATATAGCAAACCATTCAAGTCCCTATATCTACCTGGGCCACTTATGCGCGTCTCTCGCTCCTCCTCGTGAGTTGTCAGCACGACATCCTTGATTCTGGTCTGTTCCCACTAGCGAGAGAGAGAGAGAGAGAGGAAGATTCATGGGATTGACCAAATGCACAAACATATGGACACGTTAGTTAGTGTCATGTTGCTTTCTTGATATGTATAGGAGTGAAAGGTACAGCCGCAGTCATTTTTGCCGACTTCTTTTGATAGGTTTTTCTTTTTATTTTTTTATGTACAACTTCTTTTGATAGCTTTGTTTTAGAACATGTGTTCCACGTTTTAAATATTGAATTGCAAATATCACGCCAAAAAATACAGGCTAGGAGCCCATGTACATTTACTTTATGTCTCAAACACTATGCAGCTGTGCAATATGACTGATCAAGAATTCTATAGTGAGGGCCTTATATATGGCCTTTAGAGCACTTTCAGGGGTGCCCTTGGATTGCCATGACAATGAGTGGAAACAACATAAGCTTTTTGCAAGGGCTGCCACTATTTACGTGAATAGTAACAGCCATTGCATTGCCCTTACCCTTTGCCATGACAAATGAGTGGAAATGCTCTTAGGTGAGGCTCTATGTCTTAACTGTTTGATCAAATTGGTCAGTCGTTGAATCAAATTAGTTAGCCTGATTTAATAGTCATTATGACTGATAGAGCGCATGTAAGGACGACAAATTCTTTTTGTTTTTTTCGGTTGAACCATGGGCTTGACATTAATTAAAAGAAACGTCGCACACAATTCGATCGGTTTTACATTATTTTATTATGCTCTTATTTTCATTGTGTTTTAATTCGTCTTTTTTTCCTCAACAAAACCCATATTTTCCATTTATTTCATTGTGGATTACTATTTTAGGAAACGATTTACTTGAAATAAAAGTTGTCGGCACAAATCTTTCTAAAATCTCTTAACAGATGACCCTTTTTAAGGACAAAATATATTAGCCCAAATGTCAAGGTGCATGCATGCCTTAGCTTAGTTGGTGATGTAACCTAGCTAGGTATCATCTTGTAATCTTAAAATTTGAGATAGAATGATATATTCAAGAGATTGCCATTTGATATATAAGTGAATGAGTGGAAATGCAAGGACCTTATTTTCTTCAATATAAATACATAAATCATGTTTCAGTTAGTTTCTGACAACATCACGGACCCAGGAATTTTTTCAGAAGTAGGCTAATATTTTTCTTGAATTTGGGGACATACAAAAAAAAAAAAAAAAAAAAAAAAAAAAAAAAAAAAAAAATAAATAAAAAAAAAAAAAAAAACAAATAAAATAATAAAATAACATATTCTTTTATTAAAACAAAAACAAAAAGAATCTAAAAAACCCTTTCTCCTTCTCTCCCCTTCCTGCTAACCTTGAAAAGTATTATATTGCGCTAGAGTGAGGAAGAGAAAATAAGCCGAATACAAAGAGAAAAAAAATGATGTAAATAGAAACAAAACAAGAAGAGAAAATGACAAAGAGGAAGGAAACAGTGCAAAAGACGAAAAAGCAGCAAAATTTGATTGAACAGCATTGTAAGATTGACACCAAACTCTATATTTTTGAATCTTGCATTGGTATATAGATCCGTCCTTTGAAAAGCAAAATGCTCTTGAATGCCATGGGATTGTGTTCTCACTCTTTATCACTTGTTTTTAGACATTTTCATGTATCTATAGACTATTCCATTTCTACATGAGTGGAGCTGAATTTGACGTACAAGGAATTATTTTCTACTTTGACCGTTTGACATATGGTTACACATACAGAGTACATTTCAGTTTAGACTATTCTTTTGTCGCATGAGTTGTTAAGTTGCATTCTTTGACATTGAAAACATAGAGTTATTCGTTTTTTTTCTTCTTTTTTTGTTTTTCTTTTGCAATGAAAATAAATTTACAACGGCAAAGTAGAATAATCCCAAAAGTGACGAGTAATACACTGATAATGTCGTTGCTATTTATGCCTAAAACTCGGTAACAATGTTGGCTGTCCGAAGATTTAGGATTTTTAAAATTTTTAAGTTTAGGATTTAGGGTTTACGGCTGCAAATGTAGTCTTAAAGATAATGGGCAGTAAAGAAGAATTGGTTCTGGTTATCATTTGGCCCATATATATAGCTCTCTTCAATTTTTTGTAACATTTTAGTAATCTTCGATGTGAACTATAAATCCTACGTACGTAATCATCTTAAAAAACTAACCTGAAATCATTGAATTATCTTTGGAGAAGGTCATCTTCACTATACGGTTTCTTTCGCACAACTACAATAGGAGACATTTTTCTTTTGAATATGTGCAGGCTGATTGGGTTTCCTACCCACAGGATAACCTATGAGGTGGTAGGGACCTTACAATTTTCTCTCTCTTCATATGAAACCAAGATAAAAATCGGTTTATTTAATTTATAATACAAAACGAAGACTATATATATGAAGCTGTTTCAATTGATCATGTAGTATTTAATTAATTAAATGAGGCATTCCCACTGATCATGAATCAGGTCATTATCAAGACATGGAAACTGCCGACACCCAATCAACTTGTTGTCAACAAAAGAAAAAAGATAGTGAGAAAACACATAAGAGATGATGGCTTTTAAGGTGTGCAATCGTTTTTTCAGTTGAAAATTTTCTATTAAGAGGGGAGATAGTATATTAAACTCATATATACTATACGGATGCTAGAATTCAATACAGGATTTTGCTTAAGAAAATAATTACTCCAAACCACTACACTAATGGATCTTTGTCAATCATTTTATTAATTAATTGAGGAGTTATTTGTTTCCTTTGCAAGAGCTTTTTTAACTAAGTTTTCGGAAAATTACGTGTAGAATATAATAAAACTTGGACAAAAAAAAAAATTAAAAATTTCAATATTTTTGTTTAAAATTATAGTCAACGAAATAAGTGTCACTGTAATATTCTAAAATGCTCTATCTATATATCTAGTATATATTAATATTGGTTCAGAGTTCATCTCATGGTCAACTTTCATTTTGATGATCAACATGTTGTTGTCATGTATTTGACCAAGTCATCAACATGTGTGTATCCTTTCTACACTGCAACTAGTTTGTCATCCTCAAGTAAACCAGAGATGCCACCGGGAGGGCATACGCGCAAGAATCTGAAGACCCAAGTCCTTCTTATGACCCATTGTGGCCGGGAAAAATCTGCAGCAGCATTAGATTCTCTGTAAAACATAAAATGGAGAGAGAGAGAGAGACTATGATTCCACCAACAGAAAAATGGTGATGTGACAAATGATGTAACAAATCAAAGCGAAGCTGAGGCTTTTCAGAAATTAATCACAATTGGGAAAAGTGCGATAGGTAGCTGACAAAAAAAAAAGACTGTTAACAAACATTGATAACATATATATTATGGATGATTATTCAAACCCAAGAAGCAAGAGCATAAAACTGAGCAACAAATCAAAAGGCATTGAACTTTTTCTCAATTCCACCATCATGGTTTGGGAGCATAAAAATATATTGCCATCAATTCCCGTGGTGAACAAAGTGCTGGGAATTGAAACAGTTCAGGTATTTGCGCTCCCAAAAGCAGAAATTGCCAGAGCTGGTTTTTGTGCATCAGCATTGTGCTGGTAGTGCACTTCCCTTGGGGAACACAAATAGATCCCCAGCTTGAAGTGTCTGCGTAAAGAGGTTGTTTTTCGTGTCAACAAACCCGACTTCAAGGGTACCATCGACTAGGAAGAGGATCTCAGCAGAGCGAGGATGAATGTGTGGTTCGTAGTGCTGGATGGGAATTGAAGGACGGTATATGAGACACTCTGGGCATTGAGAGCTGTAAACTCTGCCAAGGTTGCCTTCAATATCTTGAAGGTTGTCATGCCAGTGAATGTGAAGAAGTTTGCATCTACCGTTGGTCGGAGCCACTATGAAGTCGCTTACAATGTCGGGGTCTCCGGCCATTGCCTTTTAAAAATTTGAAATCTGGAGAAGTGAAGATCTTTCTTGCTTTCTTTTATAAGTGGGCCTAAAAACAATTGGGCCGGGCTTGGTGGAAGTGCTTGAGGCCATGGTATTGATTTTTGAAAGTTGATTTATATATTTTTGGATTAACTATACTTTAGTCCATAGAGGTTTAGTGTCAGTATTGAAATGGGCTCCAAGGTTTCAATTAAATCAATTTCATACTCGACATTTCAAAGTATTACCAATTTACACCCGTTGTTATATTACCATCAAAGTCAGACGTTAAATGCTGACGTGACAGGACCCACTTCATAACCAAACAACATTTAAAAAAAGACCAATATGGGACCCACCCACTAACCAATTCAAAAAATTAATTTTATATAAAATAATAAAATATAATAAAATATTTTTTTAAAAACCTAAGATTGCAAACTCTAGCCCCTTCTCTTCAATCTCAACTTCATTGGCTTCCATCCTCTCCATCTCCAACACTCTTTCTCCATCTCCATAACCATATAATTCCCACTAAAAACAATCTCAACCCATATCTCCACCATGGACAGGGCAAAAAAACCCACAACCTCTCCCACAGCTAGTATCGAACCAACCATTAATGTTGGAGGGCAGTGGAGGAAATGGAAGACGTGGATAGATGCAAAAAGAGCTAGGATGGAGAGGATGGAGACATGTAGACCTACCATGGATAGATGCAGACCGACCATGGATAGATGCATAGATATTAGAGGAAATGAGTTATTTATGGTGGATTTTTTTAGAGTGAGATTTTTTTTTAATTAAAAAAAAATGGATCTGGTTAATGTGATTTTGTTTTGTTTTGATGGTGGAGTGTGTTGTGTGTTTTGGTGATTTGGTTGTTTTATCTTTCCCTTTTGAAATTAGTTTGTTGTCTGCAGAGAGAGAGGAGGTTGTTTCGATGGTTGCCACTGCTCATAATATCCATGAGCCAACATCACCAACCGCCAACGCCTCCCTCTTATGCCACTGCTAAGGCTTGCCTAAGATTTACAGATTGTATTGTAGGGGTTGGGCCTCTAGGTGGGGTTCTCCATTTTTGTTTGTTCTGTGTAATTTTGATGCGATGGGATTGTTGCTAGGGTTGTATGGTCAGGGGTAGGGTGGGTTGGGTTGTGGTTTGGGTGTGACTGGGTGGGTTGTTGGTTAGGTTCTGTTGGGGCAGACGAGTGGGTAGACAGAAGAGGTTGAGAATGAGCTGAGGAAATGAAGGGAGTGACGGCCGATGATGGGTCGGCGTGGGGAACAGAGAAGGGGCTGGGTTGGTTTTTTCTCTTAATGCTTTTTTATTTTATATAATTTTTTTATTTTAAGAATTGGTTAGTGGGTGGGTCCCATATTGGTCTCTTTCTAAATGCTGTTTGGTTATGAAGTGGGTCCCACGACTACCACGTTAACATTTAATGTTTGACTTTGACGGTCAATGTAACGGCGGGTTTAAATTGGTAATACTTTGAAATGTCGGGTATGAAATTGATTTAATTGAAACCTTGGGGCCCATTTCAATACTGACACTAAACCTTCAGGGACTAAAGTGTAGTTAATCCTATATTTTTTGGTTTTGAAAGAAATGTGATGATAAATGATTCTTGCTGTAGACCTTTTTGATTCCAGGGTATGGGGAGATGAAGATTACAATGTTTCTTGGTTGTGCAGTTTTACAGGTGCTTGCTAATTTCTTGAAAAAAAAAAAGTGTATATATACTAAAAACGTTGCAAGTTACAACTTTTGCTCATCTTCATCCCCACTAAATTAAATTAAATTTGACAACCACAACATTTGCTTATCTTCATCATCGCTAAATTATAATGGGATGGTTTTCAATAAATAAAAGAAAATGGAATATACCAATGTAATGCCCCGAAAAATTCAAGGTAGATTTTCATATGTTAGTGAAAAATAATATTATGGTGGAGAATGATTATGGGTATTTTATCAAGTGATTTTGGATGAAGATTATTAAATTAAGTGTGTTTAATTTCAAGTTGGACAAACAATGACCAAAATATTATATGTATGAAAATTACTAAAATACCCTATGAAAAAAAAAAAAAAAAAAAAAAAAAAAAAAAAGGAAAAAAAAGTGGAGGACATCAAACCACCCTTCTCCCATGCTTCCCCTCTTGCCTCAAGCTTTCAAATTTGCCATTATGAAAGTGGTGAGTCACCTAGTCTAAAGTGATGACTCGCCTAGACTAATTAATATCCTTCAATCATGAAATTATTCTTATCCTCATCATTCATTGTATCATCATTTTCTTCCTCATTCACCTTATTTTCATCTTCATTTTTCTTTTGTTCCTCTTCAAAATCCAAAATTCGTCACTTCCTTGGAACAGCCAAGAACTCAAATATAGAAAGCTCAAATGAGAAAACTTCCTTCACAAAAGTTGTTCATCTACGTGACTCCTATAACATACTCAATTTTCACCTCAATCCGATTAGTATAGCCTCTGAAAAGTTGGTATGATCACAGTATGTTTATCATTTTCTGATTTCACAATAGTGTGCTCGGTTCAATATGTTTCTATGATTTCTTGTCCTCAAATGTTCCTTCATCAAAGTTGTTCGAAATTCTGTCTACTATAACATATCAAAAATTTAGGTTGATCAGACTTCTATAGCCACCTTGGGAAAGTTTAGAATGGAACTTGTTCATTGATTATATTTAATTTCTTGTTATAGATGTGTATTTTCTCTCAAATGGCTTGTTACTTGTCATTAAATTAATCAAATTAGCCACTATCATCTCAAGTAAATGATTCTTTGAAGGCATGAAGCTCATCTTTCTATTGTCTCTTTGAGTACTAGTTATAAATCAAGTGTTGGTTAGAATACCCCAATGACATATATCTCTTTAAAGTGCGTTTCTATGAAGTTCTAGATTATTTCGATGTAATTTTGTACCAATTTTATTCTGAAATTTTGTTACATCAAAATTGATATCTCAAGGGTTATTTCAAAGTTGGTTTTGTGCCATTTGAATTTAAATTGAGTTTTTTTGTGAAATTTTAAAATAGAGACTATGTTGTTGGAATTGTTCTGATTCTACCGCATGTCATGTTTTGAATACATGTTTGAAAACTTCATGAACTTGGATTTTCATAAAATTTTAATATGTTTTACTTTCACGTATTTTCTTCAAATCTAGAAAGTTTTTATCCATTTTGATTGTAAATTGGAAATTTTGATGAAGTAAATTTCAAAATAAATTTGAAAAAAAAAAAAAAAAAACCTAGTCTGTTTTGGTTTCTATTTTGACATGCTTCCTTAACCCTAATTTTCATCAAATTTTAACATTTTTAATTTTTCTATGTCTAGTTGTAATCTGAAATTTTTTACATTATTTTGATTTAAACTCAATATTTAGTGAATTTTCAAAGTTAACATGTTCCAGCCTAAATGTTTAGCAAAACTGAAGTTTTTGTTTTAAATTGATGTTTTAAATTTTCTTTATGAGTCTAGAGCCGAATCACCTGATTTTAAGCATCCCAAAGAGTAGAACAATTATAGGAGGGGAATAGATTGGTTTTTCCTTGACACTTGGTTCTAATGCTTGTTTGAACGTGAGGTTAAGGGAGTAATGAACGGGTCGAACAACTTGTCAAGTGTATTTTGGGGCTTTAGGTCTATGTGCGCCAGTAAGATACTCAAACGTGTTTCCTTATTTCCAGTGAATTTTAATAAGTAAATTATCTTAATTAGGTGTTCTACTCTACATACTTTCGAGGACGAACCTGCACAAGGTTAAGCTAGTTGGACATAAAGTAGGGTTTCTTGATTCCCAATGATTGGGCTATGTCACTTTTAATCTTGGTGCTTATATATAGTACTATAAATATGAATATTATTTTTGTTTTACTAGATGAATATTATTTGATATTATGTGAATGTTATTATTGATGTTTCTCTGTGGATATTATATGACGTTGAGTGAATATTATTATTCATGTGATTAAATCTGAAATATTATTGTTATTATATGTATTATTATTTAGCATAGATAAATGATGTTGCGCTACATTACATATGCATCATAAATACAGTCGTGTTGGGTCGGTGTGTAGTTTAAGGTATATCTAAGGGGTGGGAGAAGGCTTTAGATATATTTGAGTAAGAAAAAAATGTAAAATATATTCAAGTGATGGGAGCAAGGCTTGAATATAATGAGATGACGGGAGTAGGGCCTCTAATGAAAAGTGAAAGTTGAGAAATTCGTAAACAAAAGAAAACTGGGTTAAGGGACGGATGGGTGCTAGTTCATATTTTAGGGTATTTGAAGCCACATTGGAAAAACGCTTGGTATGGGACATGCAGGCTTGTTGCCCTAAGGTATGAATTAGTGGGATTAGAAGGGAGTGAGTTCATGACATCACTGCATATACAAGTTTATTTATTTGGTATGATTGCATAATTTATTTATTTTGTGTTGTTTGATGCATGACACTTTGATTAACTGTGATAGTTGACTTTGAAGGGTTTGACGGTACTCTACTGGGCATTAGAATGCTCATACCCTAATAGATTGTGCAGGATTCAAGGCGAAGTTTGAGGAAGCGGGTTTCAACCAAGCTACTAGGCTTTTGTTGTGATTTGTGTAATTAATAATTTTAAGTAGTCAACCGTTTGATAAAGATCTTAGTGTGTAATTAACTACGAGCTATTGCGACTCTGATTCTGTGTTGTTAAGTAAATTTGTATTTCTTTGTGGCTTTTTCTCATCATATCATGGTTGTAGAATTTTATTCTTATGACTATGATATGACTCACACCCTGATTTGGGAATATTCCTTATTTTCGAATCGGGTTGTGACAACCAATGTTGGTCTTAGGGCTAAACTAACGCTAGCCAATGCAAGTTTTGCAAAAACAAAAATATCATTTTTATATTTTTTTATAAATAAAATTTTAATTTTTTAATATTTATTAATAAGTGGAAATTTTATTCATAATTCAAGAGGGGTACATTAACAACATACATAATACTAGTAAGGATGAGCATCAATTCTGCTGAACCAATCAAATCGTAACGAACTAATGAAGCAAGCCACCATTCATGTTAAGGTAGAATACTTCATACTCGAGAACATGCTATCTACAAAGACCCACAAATCATCTGTACCCTTAACAACCACAAAACTCCCAAAGGACTAACCGCTATTGTTCTTCTAATGCACAACCCAGTCATAATTTTAAAAGGAAATAGGGTGTGGGGGGTTTTTTTCGTTCTCGCAGCTACAGATGGGCCTGGGCTGCTGTAAAGAGCAAACGGGTGAACTGGCCCCTGTGTCTGAGTTCAAGAATCAGACCCCAAGAGTGCTTCGAAAGGGCTGTGGAGCCTTAGGAAACACGTTGGCCTCCTTCACTTACAAAACCAACGGTCGCTTATAGATAAATACTTGGGTTGGCTTGAGAAGCTTTTGGCATGGAAGCTAAGCATTTATGAGTTTAGAATAAAAGAGGAAGGAGGCTTGGATTTCCTATGAGAAACAGGGGTTCAAATTAAAGGGAGAAGGAATTTTGAGAGAATTTGTTGAGGAGAGAGAGAGAGAGAGAGAGAGAGAGAGAGAGAGAGAGAGAGAGAGAGAGAGAGAGAGAGAGAGAGAGAGAGAGAGAGGATAAGTAGGTGGTTTGAGCAATTTTCCGACAGCTTAACGAAAGCTTGGTCAGGCTTTGGATTGGCTTGCCAGAAGAGAAGATGGGAAGAGATGGAGGAATAGGGCTCGAAATTGAAGGGTTCCAGGGATAAGAGGTGATGCTTGCTCTCTCTGGATGTGGTTGTGATGATGGATAGGAGATGCCCTATTTTATAGGCGCTAGAAGCTTCTTCTTCCCAAGAAACCTTAGTTGCTTCTCTCTAATTTTGCCAAGTCTTCTCCTCTATTTCTCTTCTCTTTCTTTGATTCAACATCTTTTTATGAAATCTCCCCCAATCCAAATACACAGAGACAAGATTTTTGGGAGTTCTAGAGTCTTCCTGCAACTATCCTTGTGGCAATCTCCTATCTTTGGCTACCATATTTCCTTCTTTCCTCCCTTATTTCATGGCAAGAGCTGGTAGGAGAAAGAAGTGGGTAATGGTGTTGGTCTGAAGGGTGTTTTGTTCAAGTATCCATTGGTTTTTCGGATGACCTGTGTTGGGTTTGTCTTTGGCCATGTGCTGGAGACTCCCAGCAGCCTACACACGCAAACACCATTTGGTTTTTCAGATGGTCTAGTCTGCTTTTGTCTTTAACCATGTGCTGCAGATTTTCAGATATTTTCTAAGTCGCTTGGGCCATTCCCTAAGGTGATGGGCTAGTTTACTAAGGGAAAAGGCTAACTTTCTAAAGTGATAGACTATTTTTACTAAGGTGATGGGCTAATTTTCTAAGATAATGAGATACTTTTTTTTCTCTTTCATGCTTACCCACATATTTGGGCTCAAGAAATGGGCTCGAGTTTTGGGGCTCCCAAGCAGCCCAAACTTCAACTTCTTGGCTTATCAATGGGTCTCGTGAATGCTCATAACCATCCATACCACAACCCGCTTAGCAAGCCCCAAGTATTTGAGTAGCTTGTGCCCACTTAAGCTTGTAGTGTGGTTAGGTGTAAAATAAAGGGTTTTTCGCTTGGCATGCCATGTTGATTAGCGCGCTTATGCTCGAATTTCATCGTATTGTAAAGGGCTAAGGTCGAGTCAAAATGGCGCTTGGCGGGATAATTAGCATGGGTTCATAGAGCCGGCAAATTTTATAGGCTTGTTTCAACTCTTAGCGTGACATGTTACATATTTGCTCCACGTGGCACGTGGATCGTGACTCGTGCGAGCGTGTATGATGAACTTTTGCGTGCCCAAATTGGGTTTCTTCTCAATAAGGTATTGCACTGAGCCGTGAATATACTTGGGCCTAGCCTTGAATTTTTTGGGCCTCAACAGAAGATTATCAATTGTCTTTCAATAACACCAAGCATGGTAAAGAACAATCAAAATCATATTTTTCTTTGACTCTTATCGTTCTTATTGCCACTCATTACAAAAAAAGGGCAAACTTGCACCTTGATTGTTCGAACCCAAGCCATAGTTTGAAGTCTTCACAACAGTCAACTTCACTTATGAGTAAGTCTTAGTCAATGAGGCACCGATGGTACCTAAGCCTTCTATCAGAGGGCCAACTAACATACTCGTTGCTGATACTGGTGTCTTCTGCCTTTTTAACCAGTTTAACGGGCGCAAACTCAGTCTTGCATTGCCTGTGAAACATTATTGAAGTCCTTATTTGGGAGGGTGAGCTCGATATGTATGTGACCCACACCACCCTGCCGAACCTACTCACCAGCAACAGATCAACATGATTTCTATTATCAGTGGTAGACTTATTTTAGTTGTCACCTTTTACTGATTCCTGAAGCATTACGTTTGCTCTTCCTTTGCACATTAGGTCTTTAGTGCCAAGCGTATGCCGAAAATGTCAATGCGAGGAGGAAGAGCTCGATATCATTTTTCCCAATGACGATCCCTTGATCATTCAGGCATACATTTCTAATTTTGAAGTTGCAGGTGTGCTTATTAACATTGCCAGTTCCAACAACGTCATGTTTGCCGAAGCTTTCAATACCCTCCAAGTGGATGATCACTTGATTAATCGGCACATTACACCCTTAATTAGCTTATCTAGCGATGTTGTCCAACCCATCGACAACATCAACTTGCCTATTGCCATTGGTACATCATCAATTTGCCTATCGCCATCGTTGACTGTTCTATCGCTTACAATGTAATCTTAGGGTGCACAGAATTGGCACAGATGCGCATCTTCATCTCCATACACAAGTTGATGATGAAGTACTCTATGAGACAAAAAGTAAAGGGTAACCAACTCAGCGCTCGCAGTTGCTATGCTTCGGCTGGAAAACAAACTCCACACTAATCTCATTGCCTTCATGCAATAGAATGCCGAAGTATTTTTCGCATGTCGAAGTATTTGTTTGGTCCTATAGTGACATGCTTGGTATATCCCCTGAAGTCATCTTTTATTGGCTTAACATTGAACCCGTTATACGACTCGTTCGACCAAAGCTACGTGCTTATGATCCTGAGCGATATGAAGCTATGAAAATCAAATTAAAGAAGCTCCATGGTATTAGCTTTATCAGATAGGTGGATTACCCATCCTGGTTGGCCAATGTGGTTCTTGTACGGAAGCTAAAAGCCGATTGGTGCATATGTGTGGATTACACCAAATTTAATCGTGCCTACTCGAGATATAACTTTCCCTTGCCATAGATTGATCAGCAAGTCGACGCTATGACAGGCCAAGAGTTACTCAACTTCGTGGATGCTTACTCCGGCTACAATCAGATCTTCATGCATCCAGCAGATCAGTTGCACACATCATTCATCAATGATATAGGCCTCTACTGTAGATCAAGCGCACACATACATCATTGAAGCCAACCATGAGTAAATCCAAGCCATCCTGGATATGAAGGTTCTGAAAACAATGAAGGACATCAAGAGCCTTACCGGACATGTTGCCGCTCTTACCAAATTCATTTCTAAGGCTACCGATTGGTGTGCCCCATTTTTCAATGGTAACAAGCACAACATCGTTTGGACTCCCAAATGCTACAAAGCCTTTACTGAACTTAAGAACTACATGAGTAAGGAAGCACTCCTATCTAAACCGGAGTATGGAGAGGCCCTTATGATCTATTTATCTATCTTTTCCAACGCCGGAAGCACTCTTATCTTCCACTACAGTTAGCTCTTTTTTAAAATGAATCATAGATTCATAGCATACACAAAGGGCATTGGAATTGTATAATCTCTAACAGTTGTAAATCAAATTGTTGAATTCAATTGAGGTTGACAATACAAACAACACTATTTATTGTGAAAGAATGATGTCTATATATGTCCAAAAGAAAATTAATGCATAGTTCCTTGCATGACATAACATACCATAGTTAAATTAAAATCAATACATGTTTATATATATTATTGTTCATCAATTTTTGTAACTTAAAGAAATACTAGCAATTAATTTGAGTACTCAAAATGTGTTGGCTTATACACAATAGTAATAACATACAATGTGCAGTAGATGAGCAAAACATGAGAGAGCCTAGAGAACATGTTGTAAAGACCTCTTAAAACCCTTAAAAGGAAATAGAATAGTTTTACCACAAATAAACTTGGAACATAATATAAAGTTTAGAGAAGACATTGTTAAAGCCAACATAATATAAAGTTTAGAGAAGACATTGTTAAAGCCTCTCTAGACCTAAAATTGTTTTCATCATCGTCTACAATGTTTCCATTTATGCATTTTCATCATGCCTTTGAATACGCATTGCCTTAGCTCATATCCGAACATTAATTAGATTAGCCTCTCTGCACGCGCTTCCGAGCATGCAAGAGGCATTTTTTAATCACACGGACTACATGCGACTTATAAAGTTTATTTATTTTTCATTTTTTATTTTTTGCAATTATATTTTGCTAGATGCTCGTCTTAAATGTTTTCATTTTATCACCCGTATTTTTCTAGATGTCCATCTCAACTGTTTTTTTCTTTCTTTTATTGTGCATAAACTATTGAGGCGGACATTTAGACAAAATATAGGCGACAAAAGGAAAACATTTAAGACGAGCAAAATATAGCAAAAAAAAAAAAAAAAAAAAAAAAAAAAATTGTCAATCGTGCAGCGTGCGTTATTAAAAAAAGGTATCTCGTACGTGCGGAAGCGCGTACTAGGAATCTACTATATATTATGAGAATTGCCTCTTTTGAATATGCACCAAAAGAGTGCATTTGTTGAATATGCCTTGGATATGCATTTATTGCATATGTTAAATTTAAGCCCCGCCCATACTTATTTAAACATTCCATCCATTGAATCAAATGCATTTTGATAACAAAAAAATGGAATCAAATACATATAACCCAATACTAACAGCAGCTAGCTACAAAGGAAAAAAAGGGTTTGAGCTGAGTCTGCATGTTTTGAAATAAAAAATAAGGGCCCGTTCGTTTAAGTTTTCAGCGCCCGTTTTCATTTTCAAAAAACAAAAACAAACCAAGAATCCGTTCGGTGGACTAAAACAGAAAACACTGAGAATGTTTTCATAAAATGAAAACAACATCACGTGTACTTCGGAAAAACAGAAAAAATGTGTTTTCATTCTCACAGAAAACAAACGCCTAAAACATAAACCGAAATGCACAACCCCATCGCTCTACCCAGCAAAACAGAAACGAAACGAAAATCAAACTCACCATGGCCATGATTGTCAGACCATCATCATCACAACCGCCACTGATTCTGCCACTGCCACCAAACCTCACAGACCCAGTCCCCACATCACCACCACCTATCAAACCCAACCGACACCAACACCAACACCACCACCATGCCAATGGAATCAAAACCAAACACCCAATCGAACCCAATACACATCTCGCCACCTAGTAAAAAAGCAATCGACACCTCCACCACCCATACCCAATCAAAGCATCACCATTGCCATCACCACCCAAGAGAGAGAGAGAGAGAGGAGAGAGAGAGAGAGAGAGAGAGAGAGAGAGAGAGAGAGAGAGAGAGAGGAGAGAAGAGGAAGAAAGAAAAGGAAAAAAAGAAAAAAAGAGGAAGAAAGGAACGGCCTGGGAAGGGAGAAGAAAAGATAAAGGAGAGAAGAGGAAGAAAGAAAAGGACAAAAGAAGAAAAGAGGACGGCCTGGGAAGGGAGAAGAAAAGAGAAAGGAGAGAAGAGGAAGAAAGAAAAGGAAAAAAGAAGAAAGGAGGAAGATAAAAAAAAAGTTTAACTTAAAAAAAACAATATAATTTTTTATTTGTCAAATTATACATTAAAAAAAATATTTTTTAGAACATAAATTAGCAAAAATACACTTGAAAAATAATTGTACTACCAAACACGTTTTCATTGTTTTTGTTTTCTAAAGATGTTTTCTAATTAATCTACCAGACGCATTTTCATTTCCTGAAAATGCAAATTTGTTTTCTTGTTTTCATTCTCTGAAAATATTCTCAGAAAACACTCTCCGAAAACGTTACCAGACGGGCCCTAAAGGTTTTGCCGCTGAAAAATGTACAGCACGGTTTGCCCCTTAAAAAATGGGTTTGCTCTCTCAAAAAAGAAAAAAAAAAAAGGAGGTTTTATTCCTTAAAACGTGCGTTCCAACTTAAGTGAAATTGACAGCCCAACAATGAGACGACGTCGTCTAAGAGAAAACCTATAACAAACAGAGACGCGCTCTCTTCTTCTTCCTCGCGCAGCAGCGCCGCTTCTTCGTCTTTCTCGCGCAGCAGAGCCTCACAGACGACGACGCTTCTTCATCTTCCTGTCCCACAGACTTCTCGCAGCAGCGCCGTATCGGGACCTTATTTCGGACGGTCAAACTTTCGGACGATACATAGCAGCATCGGATACGTATCGCACGCGTATCGCCGTATCCGACACGAGCATACCCCTCAAGACTTACGTATCGGTGCAACACAGCTACGCACTCTCATGGGGACCCCAAAGAAGATCAAGAAGAAGCAAACTCCAGAAACCCAATTCCACTCCTCCCTCACTCTCTGCTCGAAGCACAAAGACTTGCCCAGCGCAATCTCGCTGTACGAATCCGCCGTCTCCCAAAAGACTCACTTCAACCACCACCACTTCAACACTCTCCTCTACCTCTGCTCAAACTCCGTCAGCGACCCCTCTCTGAAGCAATTGGCTTTGGACAATGGCTTCCGCGTCTTCGACCAAATGTTATCTATCGGAACTCTTCCGAACGAGGCCACGATCACCGCCGTGGCCCGGCTCGCGGCCGCCAAAGGGGACGGCGATTACGCATTTGGCCTGGTGAAGGGAATGGATAAGTATAATGTGTTGCCGAGGTTGCGCACGTGCGACCCGGCGCTGTTTTGCTTTTGTGAGAAATTGGAGGCGGAGAAGGCGTATGAGGTGGAGGAGCATATGGGTATGGTGGGGGTGAGCTTGGAGGAGCCGGAGATTGCGGCGTTGCTGAAGGTGAGTGCGGAGACGGGAAATGGGGAGAGGGTTTATGGTTATTTGCATAAGTTGAGGAATGTAGTGAGGTGTGTTGGGGAATCAACGGCTAAGATCATTGAGGATTGGTTTTTGGGTGGAGTGGCTTGTGAGCTGGGTGAAGTGAATTGGGATTCGGGTGGGGTGAAAGAGGCGGTTTTGAGGAATGGAGGAGGGTGGCATGGGCAGGGATGGATTGGGAAGGGGGTTTGGGATGTGAGGAGAGCCAATGCGGATATGAGCAGCAGCCAGTGTTGCTCGTGTGGTGAGCGTTTGGTTTGTGTTGACATTGATTGTGGGGAGACCCAGAGGTTTGCGGAGTCGGTTGCTGCTTTGGCAATGGAACGGGAGGTTAAGTCAAATTTCAGTGAGTTCCAGGTGAGCCAAATATTTTGATTAGTCAAATTTTCCATGTTTTTGTTTTTTGTTTATCCAATTTGAATTTGACAGAGACTATAGTTTCACATTTGTTTTTAGCTTTATAATGCGAATGTTCTGTTTTTGTTTGGGGTGCTGGTAACGGGATAGTGGATTTAATGGTTTCAAATTTGAGGAATTGAGAGCAGAGTTCAAGAATTCAGCAGATATGGATGAACATGTTATATTTTGATGCTGGTTCCCCTCAATGTATATGGACATTCTTGTTTCTGATAGATAAGTTGGGATTTTAATAATAAAACATGCAGGAACTGGGATTCTTTCCTGTTTGTTAGGTTGTCATATTAGTGGTAGATTCATAGATTTACTATACTTGGAAATATATAACAGGGTTTATGTGATTTTCGTGGTACTTTCATTACCCCCTAATGACGACTCACATCAGGTGTAACGATGACTAGTAGCCTTCCACACATTACTTAAAGTCATAACCTTAATTAGACCTCTTTTATTGTCCCAACTAACTTCCTAAACTCCCAAGGATGACCCTTTCCTAGGTACAGCAAAGTTTATAATTATTTGAAGCTTCTAGACCTCTAGACTTATGTGACTCCTTTTCTTGAAACTCTCTGAAGCATTTATTCATTCCAGTGGGCTGGGTATTACTTGAACTCCCAGCTTGGGCCTGCTGTACCATGGTCCCACCAGATCAATTGGGCCGAGTATTCAATTTTTTCTTAGTATGGTTAGAGCATCTCCAACCGATGTGTCAAAAGTGCCACATAGACATTTAACGGCTAGAAATAACATCTATCACTCCAACCGTTGTGTCAAAGTTGATGTGGAATGAAGACTGGAGGCTGAGATGTTATTTTTGACATCCCAAAAGCAAGATGTCAAATGAATATTTTATTATTTTATTATATTTTTAATTAAAAATAAATCAACACTAAAATGTATTAAAATAATAATTTAATTTGACATATTGGGTGGAGTGTAAAGCTGTGTAAGATGTCAAATTGCCACATCAGCCATCAAATTTAAATTTGATGTTTGGTATTTGACATCTCCCTTGGGGATGCTCTTATAAACTTTAATGTGGGCCTGATTGCCCATCGAGATGCTGCTGCATAATCTGTGGTGGTGTTTCTTAATTTTTGATTGCATTGGCATTTAGTCTTTTACATTTGTTTTGCCTTGAAATGACAGAAATCAGAATTAATGAGGCGATTTAGAGTTGTTGTGGCTATAAAGAAGATTAAAGTAGCAAATCCAACGTTTTATGTGTTCAATTTGATTATATTTGGGTCAACGTTACTTTGCAAAC